ATACATCTTTACTGAAGATTAGCAGCCTGGTGGGTTGAGGAAATTAAATTTCACAAGGGCTGCAAACTGGAAGCACATTTTCAGAGGTGTGAAAATGAAGTGGGGAGATTTTAGTATAGTCTTCAGGAGTAGATCTTATGGCTTGGAGCCTTGGGGCTTTTCTGGAGGTGTGGTTATTTCAGAGTAACAGGTGATGTGAATTTAAAGGGGAAATTCCAGAATAATTCCTAATCTGGCATTGTTGTCCCAGAATGAGGTGTCCTTTTCTGATTTAAGTTAACACAGTTTGAAAATACATTGGCCAATACATTTATTACCTATTTCACAGCTGTTATTTCAGTCTTTTTCTGAGTAGACAAGCTGGTGGCAGGGCTGGCTGGCATGGCCATGGGTGTGTGTCCTGGCAGATCCTGCCAGTGTATCCATCCATCCATCCATCCATCCATCCATCCATCCATCCATCCATCCTTCCATCCTTCCATCCATCCATCCATCCATCCATCCTCTTCCTCCTGGGGGCTGTGCCAGATGCTCTCTGCCCTCGCTGCTCTCCTCCCTTGAAGCTGAGCTCTCTCTCAGCTGTTCCTTGCTGTGACCCTGGCAGGGCTGGATGGATCAGGGAGGGCCCTGGAGCCAGGCTGGCAGGGCTGATGGATCAGGGAGGGCACTGGAGCCAGGCTGGCAGGGCTGGTGGATCAGGGAGGGCCCTGGAGCCAGGTTGGCAGGGTTGGATGGATCAGGGAGGGCCCTGGAGCCAGGCTGGCAGGGTTGGATGGATCAGGGAGGGCCCTGGAGCCAGGTTGGCAGGGCTGATGGATCAGGGAGGACACTGGAGCCAGGCTGGCAGGGCTGATGGATCAGGGAGGGCCCTGGAGCCAGGCTGGCAGGGCTGATGGATCAGGGAGGGCACTGGAGCCAGGCTGGCAGGGCTGGTGGATCAGGGAGGGCCCTGGAGCCAGGCTGGCAGGGTTGGATGGATCAGGGAGGGCACTGGAGCCAGGCTGGCAGGGCTGATGGATCAGGGAGGGCCCTGGAGCCAGGCTGGCAGGGCTGATGGATCAGGGAGGGCCCTGGAGCCAGGCTGGCAGGGCTGATGGATCAGGGAGGGCACTGGAGCCAGGCTGGCAGGGTTGGATGGATCAGGGAGGGCCCTGGAGCCAGGCTGGCAGGGCTGATGGATCAGGGAGGGCCCTGGAGCCAGGCTGGCAGGGCCCGTGTGGGCCCCTGTACGCTGCAGCTGCCAGCATTCCTGCTCACCGTGTGTGCACGGGGCAGCAGCCTGGGGACTGCATTTCCAGGAGCCACATGGACTTTTCCCCTCACTGCACTGTTGTGGTGCAGGGTGGGCAGGAGTGGAGCCCTTCAGATACTGCAAGTGTCCCCTAAAAGAAGCAGCAGCTGCATTTGTGGGCTCTGCTCGTGCATCATGAGCAGCAGGAGCTGCCAGCGTGTTTTTCTCCTTCTACGCACTCAGGTCATCTTGTGACCTCTTCTTCTTGATTTATTTGGCACTTTCTCTCCGTGGGAAGGCAGCAGGATGGGTGTGTTTCAGCCCATGAATGTTCTGCTCTACACCAGCCTATTTGCATTCACTTTTATCTGATGAATGCACCCAGTGTGTTCCTAAATGTCTGGAGTCATTTCTGGGTGAGGTAGCACTGCCTTGTGCTGTGAACATATTTCTGTGTCATCTTCAGATTAAAATTTACATCTCAGGTTTGATTTTCTCCCAAAGGAAGTGAAATTAGTATGAGATTTGCTTGGCTCATGCAGGTGTATCAGGAATGTTTGCCATCTGATACATTTGCATGTAGGTGAGTGCAAAGGCAGATTTTATTTTAACCACATGTAGACAAGTGAGTATGATGAATGGGTTTATTATTCTGTAAGGTGCTTATTATATTATACTTCTCTTTGCCTTTGTCTTTAGGGAGAACTCTTTAACCACTTCAGGGATTGATTGCATCTGATTAGAGAGTAGTTTGTCTTCTGAATCCATTATCCTGGATGAAAGTCCACAAGTTTATTCCATTTTATGGTGCAGCTTGAATTTCATTGTGTGTGTATTATACAAATGAGGACCAAATGCAAAGTATTCCATAAGGGCTCATTTGAATTGATGAGTGGCCTTTTCTTATAGAATTATCATGCTGGATTGCAGGTAGGGATGGAAAAGAGACTGGTGGCTCATCCTGCCTGCAGCAAAATAGTGCCCTTTTACTTCTCTCCTTCTTTTGAAATTTGAAAATTCCGGCTCATACTTTAAGAAAAAAAAGAAAAAGAAAAATTTCCCAGTTTATCTGACCTTTCCCATTGTGGTGGTCACAAATGCTTCCCCCTGCCCCAGCTGAGACCATGTGCCCAGAGGATGAAGGAGTAGTGGGGAGCACTCTCCTTCTGGTCCCACATATCCAAGGGTGACCCTGCCATGGGGACAAGCTGGGTTACCTGGCAGGAGCACCTGCAAGCCTCAGTGTTCATTGTTCTTTGAATCACAGCACCCTTTCTTTCTCCTGAACACAGCCAATGTGATTGTTCCCTTGGCAGTGGAGTGTCACTGCTCTGCAGTGCTAACTGGGGTAGTGAGTGCACAGATGGGGTGAGGATGGGCAGGAGGAGCAGGTGAATAAGCCCCATGTACCCACAGCCTCCATCTCCTCTGAACTCACAGAAACATGAGCTCTGATTTAATCTCCTAAGCTTCTGCTTAGGTTTTCACTTCTCTGTAGGAATGCAGCATTTCTGGAGTGTCTGACTGGCAGAGGAGGATTTAAGGGGAAAGGGAGAGACAGCTTCCAGGCAGTTTCACTAACAGCAGCTTATTATAAATTTAACAGATGAACTGTCAATTTCTTGGAGGTGTGTGCTCACCACAACCTTTCCTTGGATTCTTCACTTGCCATAGAAAAAAATTAACTTCTAAGGTGCTCAGCTAATGTAGTGCATTTCATTGCTCAAAGGTGTTCCTTGGTTTAAAGTTTGCAGCCTTCATCATTGCTTTTATCATGTCTCATAATACTGAACTGTGTTGTAAAGGTAACTTTAGTGTGTTTTTTAATATGTTTGTATTTTCTCAATGATTATTGTAGGAGGCATGGAGGAATTTTATTCTACTCAGGGTCAGCTGTCAGTGAGTGAAACTTTTGCCTTTCAGTCAAACTGGTCACTTTATTATTTTTTCCCCAGATGTCTAAGTTGATAGGTACAGCAGGACTGAAATAATACTTTCTATGACTTGAAATTTCTGGGAAGTTTTTAGTTTTTAAAATAAATTCTGTACTTGAAAAGCTATACATTTGCAAGTGGTTCATCTGTCTGATGTAAGATTTTTTTTTTTAAGCAGAAATATACATATAGCACTTTCTTTAAAGTTTCTGGAAAGTACCCTGAATTTTGGGGTTGGTGGTAGCTTTTCCTCCTCTTCTTTGTACCATGCAATCCTTGTATTATCACAGTCCCTTTGCACTGTCAAACCCCTACATAAATCTCTGATTTTCTTTTAATTTACATTACTGAAATGAAATTTAGATTTTATGTTGGCTGTTCCTATGGCACAACTTAGCTGGAGGAGAGCACACCTGGGCAGCTTTGCTCCTACCTCTGCCTGTGCTCTGTTTTCTCCCCTGCAAAGGACATTTTCAGGGGTACCACTCACCTGGCTCTCCTCTGTCTTGATCCTTCTGGGGAAACTTCCAGTGGTGGGGAATGGCAGAAAATCGTAGGTTTGTTTGAAAGTGATGATGCAAAAGGAAGGAAATAAGTTGAGCAATTTTTAAGAAAGCAAATGAAAGTGTCAGCACAGTGGTCCAAAGTCAGGGAGGGGATGGAAGCAAGTAAGGATCTTCCTCTGGTAAATTTATTAAAAAAAAAAATTCACACTTTTTGCTAAATGTAAATGATAGCTTAGGAAAAAACTGCTTGGAATACAAGTAAATGATGTTGCCAGGATACTTCCTGATCATGTTAATTAAACTGTCCCACAGATTGGGCTTAATTACTGCATAATTTGCATTTTGGAAATGATGGTAGGCATTACTAAAGAAAGCTCTTGTTCTGCTAGCAGAAAGAACATTGTACATGAATTAATTTCCAGGGGAAGAAGTCGCCAGACTGATATAATGATGTATCTTGAAAGGAAAGTTAAGATTTTTGATAATGAACTGACATATACCTCATTCCTCTTAGCAAGATTACATTTTATATTTGCTCCACTAAGTTCCTCAGAGGCTTCATCCACCAGCCTTCCTCTTGTTGGCTGTTTCTTTAATTACAAGAACCACTGTTGCTTTCAGGGCTGCTGGTGATGAAGCAGATATTAGTTAGTGTAAAGAGGCAAAATATTTGTTCCAAGGCCCACATTTGATACTGAATATGCATTGCTGGTGATGTGCTTCACCACCCTCCCAAGTTAAATTCCCTGTTAAGCTATCAGCTTCTCCTTGTCTTGCTTTTTATTGTCTGGCTTTGTTTGAAACGTCTGATATGTCTCTGGTTTGAAACTTCTGATATGTCATCCTGCTTGTGGAGGCCTGAGGACAGATGGAAAAATGCAGAAATATCTCTCTGCCTTGCAGGTGTGAGTTCAGGTGTTACTGGGGGGTGCCCTGCTAGGAGGCCTCAAGCAGGCAACTCTTGGGGCAGTGGCTGTGTGGCTTCCTGATGCAAATAAAAAGGATTTTAAAAAGGATCTTGCACCTGCATTTCTGCCAGGGTAGTGTTGTGCCTCGTGACCCTGCTTTGAGTTCAGTGACGTTCCTGCAGCCACGTTTAACTGCAGGGCTGTGATGGTACTTTGAAAAACAAGACAAAGCATCAGAACTCCTGCAAGAATTAAGACAAGGAAACAACTGTTTTATTTTGGAAAAAAAAATTTCTGAACACAGCAATTTCCCAATTTAGACTGCTAATTGCTTTGCATGATACCGTTGCTAGGATATGCATTTCCGATGTGACTTGCACGTTTTAATTCTTTTTTTTTTTTTTGCTCTGTCTGTGACCAGGTGATCATAAACAGCACCATCACCCCCAACATGACCTTCACCAAAACATCACAGAAGTTTGGGCAGTGGGCAGACAGCAGAGCCAACACCGTGTTCGGGCTGGGCTTCCCCTCTGAGCAGCAGCTGACAAAGGTAACAGGGCTCACTGCAGGGCTGCAAAGGCTGTTTGCTGCTTGGAAATGCAGCCTGGCACATCTCCAGCCTGTGTGTGCTGCAGGTCCTGCTCAGCACTGCAGGTCACTCATCTCTGGAATTGCCAGAATTACCATCCCTGGAATTGCCAGAATTACCAGAATTACCATCCCTGGATGGTATTTTTTCTGGTATAATACCAGAATTACCACCTCTGGAATTCCAGAATTACCACCTCTGGAATTCCAGAATTACCATCCCTGGAAATACTAGAATTACCATCCCTGGAGTTACCACTGCCTGTGGGTGGCAGTGAGTGCTGCTGCTGCTGCAGGGGATGAGTATCCAGGGAGAGCTGATGTCAGGCTTGCTGACAAAACTGCCTCTGCATTAGCACCTCATCCTGAGTTTGGTATTAATGAAAGACTTCCCTGGACTAGGGACTGGGTACATTAACAGGCTTGTAAAGGCTAGAGCAGCCTCTTGTTCTGAATAAGCAGCACCTGAAAATACTCCTCTGTCACTGGAGTGGTGGTCTTGACAAGTGCTTATCAAGCAGCTGAGATGATTGTTCATGTGGTAAAAAGCTCTGCTTATCTCACACATACTTGACTCCTGAGGCATTGGCTGCTTGGCACTGGGCTTCATAAGTGACCTCAGCAGGATGTCCTTGGGCATGCCACAGCCTCTCAGGTTGCTGTCCTCTCTTGTGCTTTAATAAGAAAAGGATCAGGAGAAGAAGGTGTTTCTTGTGGTGTCTAAAGCAGCAAAGGAAGAGCACTGCACTAGAAGGGCTTCCCTATCAAGGGAGTTGTTATAGGAATTTATTTTAGTAAGGCTGCCTTGATAAGTTTTTGCATTTTCTAGAGAATTGCATTTTTGCAAGTGTTTCTTAAAGGTAAAAGTTATTTTAATTTTCATATGTTAAATTATTTTTGGACTTGGGGTGCCCATAAAAGTGCCATGGCATTAATCTGTTCTTCAGAGATAAAGGCCTGATGTGCAAAGCTGGTTTAAAAATGAGTTGTTGGAGATGGATATGTTTTATGATGCTTTCTCAGGTGTACAGGACTGCTCATTTCACCCATGCATTTTCCTCACTCCTGGGGCAAAGAGGTGTTCATAGTAGCTAATAAGATACATGGGAATAGAGGAGGATTAAAATGGACCTAGGGAATAATTTTTTTTGAGTAACAGATAAACACATATAGTAATGATATAATGCAACCTTTGGACACTGAGTGGGAGAATTAGCAGCTCTGGATAGTAGTTTTTAATCCTGGATTACTGAAGTTACACCTCTGTAACATGACACGAGTGCCTCAGTGGCAGACTGGGGCTAAACTTGCACCATGTGCCACATGGAGCAGGTGCTGCTGGGTCTGGCTCAGGAGAAGAGAGGTAAATAATGAAGTAAGGCACTGGGTTCACTATAGTAAGGCAGGAGGTACATTTGGAGGACTTTGCAGCCTAATCAGAGAAATGTTACCATGTTCTGCAGACCTTATCAAACACACTCAGAAGAAATGCATTGCTGCTATCAGCCCATCAGTGTTCATGTGGCCAGTCCAGGCCAGTGTGAATAACCTGGGTCATTCATGTGGGCACAGGGGCACCAGCTGTGTTTCTTCCCAGGTCACTTTGTACATTTGTGTGTACTGCATGATCTGCTGAAGAGCCCAGTGCCCAAAATGCAGCCTTCTACCTGCATGAAAGGCTTTCCAAATCAGCAGAAAGACTTTTTCTGGTCAGAATATTGAGAGGGAGCTTAAGGGGGGCACTTCTAAAAATAGCTTGAGATGATTTTTTTAAAAAGAAAAAAATCCCAAAACTCTGACAGTTACCTAGCTGAAAAATATAGGAAAACCTGTTTTATTATCACCATGTAAAGCAATGGGACAAAGATACTTCTTTATTGTCTGTGCTTCTCAGTTTAATTATTGAGCCATTAGTAAGAAAGATCAGAGTTGAGAGTGAGATTACAGCTATATAAGTGTACTGGGAATAGTAAAATCAAGTTTCATTTTATATTAATATCATTATACTCTTATAAAAGATATAAATTAAAGCTTGCCTATTTTACAGGAAATAATTGAAGTGCTTAGTCAGGAATTGGAAGGGCACGCTAAAACCTCCCTAAACCAGAGATCAATAGCCCTGGCTTAAAATAAATATAAATAAATAAAGCTGAAAAATGTCAGTTGAAAGCAGTGGAAAATAATGAGGCAGGAGAAGAGGTTAGCATGCCTAAAAATGCCTGCATTTTTAAGTATATTGCTTGGCCTAATAAAAGATATTGCCTCATTCTAATGCTTTGCTTCTCTTGAGATACTTAAAGCATTAATCCATACCTGTAGGGAAAAGCAGTTCAAATTAAACATGAGCCATTAATGAAAACTGCATTCTGTGACCCAGTAACCTAATTACCATTCACATTGATTGGGAGAATCCCAGGGCTTAGGGCTGATGTCCTACTCAGGGTCCTGTTCCCCTTCTGCAGGAGTTGCTGACCCTCCTTTCCCCACCCTGTGCCTCGGAAGGGTCTCAAGGCATTGTTCAAATGCTTCAGCCAGACTGAGGCAGGAATCACAAAAGTGACAGTGTGTGTGTGGGGTGAGCAGGCAGGGCTGGTGCTGCAGGCAGTGCTGAATTTTGCACACCAAGGGGTTAAGGAAGATTTCTGCTCTCCTTCAGGGTGCTGTGTGTGAGGAGCTGCAGGTATCCAAGGGCATAGGGACAAAGATTTATATGGGTGAGAAGCCCAGTAAAGCCAGACTTTGCACATCATAAAGCAGCTGCCTCTGGCCCCTGGGAAGCCCTGGACTTTATTTCTCTGCACATTTTGTGTGCCAGTCACTGCATTGCAGGGCAGCAAGCTCGGGGCAGAGTCTGCCCCAGCACACAGCGCAGCCACTGGTGCAGCTGCCATCAGAGCTGGACATGCCCTGGCTGGGACAAAGCAAATTACTGGGCACTTTCTGGGGTAAAAAGTCTTGTTGGGAGCCCCTGTGCCCCATGCTGATCCCAGGAGAGCCACAGGAAAAGCAGGAGTGAGCTGTGGGTCATGGCACAGCCCTGCTCCCCCGGGGCTGTCACATCACCCAGCCTTCTGCAAACCCAGGGGGAGATGAAATATTTATGAGCCTGCTTTGGGTGGGAGCAGCTGTTTCATCTGATACTGGCACAATTTGTCAGTAGGAGACATAAAATATAATGCCAAACCAGGAGCTTAAAATCTAGGCGTACAAAATCATTCTTTTTAATGTATAAAATGCTAAGGAGGTCTATTTGAATATATATATATTTCTCCTGGTGACAAACTGACTGTGGATTTGAACAGCCTTTAAATAATTTGTGCAATGCACAGTAGCATCCTTGAGTCCCCATTAAATTTCACTGGCCAAGACTCCTAATCAAGCAGTGCTCATGGCTGCAGCTGCCTGACCAGAAGGCTGCACAAGTGTTGGTAGCAGCAAATCTTCTCCATGTTGCAGCTTAGTCACAGTCCTGGGGCGTGGGAAGGCACATCCCATAATCCATGATGGATTATTGGGGTGGGATTCAGTTGGCAACTCTCCTACTCCAGTTTTTGTGGGGTTTTCTTGCTGATTTTGGGAACTTTGCCAGAGGGCAAGCATGGACCTAAGGAGAAGAAACATGATGAATTTTTGTTGGTTTTGTGTACTGAGATTTTCATTGCCCCTTGAGATTACTTACCACGCTTACCAAGTTTTCATTTACTGAACACACTTTTTATTAGGAATTGACATTCATTAAGCACTCCCTTTTTTTTTGTAATACTTTGATGGCTCAAAGTCAACGTAGATCTTGGAGGTGGAGCATGATTTTGTGATACCAGTTAATTGTCAATTATTTGTGTTTGGGCAGAAGCAGTTGGTTACTAGAGGGCAATCTGATTTCTCCTGGTGATTTGACCCGTGCCTGTGCCACACTGTCAGGCAGCCTCGAGCTCTGGGTGGCTCCAGAACCTCCTGCTCTACTCCTGTGCAAGGGCTGCTGCAGAGCTGGGGCTGGCACTGCCCCTTTGAAAGCAGCAATCACTTTCTAAATGCAAATGTGTTTAATACAAGTGTTGTGAACTGGAGACATGACTGATATCGTTTATACAATGAGGTCATTATTGGGTTAGTATTGAAGATTAGCGTTGCTCAATCATATGCAATTTTTTTATTATGGAAATGTGGGAAAATGTCCTTTTCTTCCCAGCTCACATAATTTTTCACAGTAGTCTCCTGTGTGCTTTATGAAGATAGCTGCAAAAATAAAATTTGATAGATCACTTCCAATTCTTTTTGTCTGTTCATATTTCGTATCATCCATGAAGAACCCTCATAAATTTTTCATACATAAGATGAAGAGATTTATCATAAAAGAGAAAGATTTATTATAAAAGACAAACTCAAAACAGCCTTACACTAGCCACAAGAAACACAAATGTAGAACTTACTGTTGATATAATATTTTAGAAATAATCAGCTGGTTATAGCTGCTCTGTCACAGCGGGAGAGATGCTTTGTGTAAAGTTAGAGTTAAATCACTAAAGGCACGAATGTAATGTGGTTGTTCTTAACGATCTGTGGAGTGCTGGAGAGGCAATCAAGTCATTTGTGCGTGTAGTGACTGCAATGCCATCAGCTGGAAGTGCTGCCATCCCAGGGCACACCCCTTGCATGTGCAGTGTCAGCTCTGGGGCAGGACAGCTGATCCCAGAGCTCCATCTTCATCCCCCAGCCCTGCCACACAGCACAGGGTGCACCCACAGCATCACTCACCTGCCAGAATGTGCTCATCCCTGGGGTGTAACCATGGTGTGTGGGTGTGGGTGTTGGAAATTGCCATTTGTGTGTGTTACACATGTAAATCCAGATTTCTTTTAGACCAAATGGAGAAGATTTGTTTAATCAGTCTCTACAGTCCAGATTTTACTGGGAGAGCATGCTAAATACCTGCTGTAAATCTAAAGTTAAATCTAAATCTAAATACCTGCTGTAAATCTAAAGATTGCTAAGTGGATAATGTTTCTTTCTATTCTTCAACTGTAAATTTGGATTTTTTTTCATGCTTTTATTTACAGTTTTTTCATAAGTGTTCTGAATTATCCAAGGGTGTAATGGCAATCCTTTTGTCACAAACTGTGCAATAAGTACATCTGTTTTTATTTTACTTCTAAAATGTCTTGCTTTTCCAGCATTTCAAATTTCTCAAAATACAGGCAAGCAGTGTTAGCTGAAAGATAAAGTTACCAATTCTTATAGTGGATACATCATAATTTTAAAAACAAATTATGTATTATACCTTTTTTTCCATCTTTGAAATCCTCTTAAAATGTTAAACACTGTTTAAAGTGTCTGAAGCTCTGCAACCCTGACTGGCTGTGATAATTCTTGTATTTCAAAAATGCTAGGCTGGCTTTGGAGCAGATGTCCTACAGCAACTCACAGAGGTTGGGATTGTTACCTTCCATCTTTATCTTTCCTTTCCTTCACCTCTCCCAGTTTGATATATCCCTCTTACAGGAAGCATTCAAGCCTTTATCTGAAGTCTTCTACATTTATTGCTGAAAGTAATAAGAAAATTGGAGCAGAAAAGCTCTGGTTTTGAAGAACTCCATCATACATTGAGATCTACTTTCTTCTCCTTTTTCCTGTGTCTTGATAATCCCTTGCTTACCTCCTGCAGATGAACTTATTTGCATTCTTTAATTGAATTCACTTGCTCTTAGGAATGGAAGACATTGATACTATTTTTATCCAAACATATGTCTCTAATACTTTTGTCTTTAATACACTGTCAGCACCAAGGGAAACAGAGAAGGGGGAGGAAATAAACAGAACCAAATCAAACCAGGAGAATCCAACAGTTCCTTTTCCTCCATGGGCTTTTACTGTGGTTGGCCAGAGTTATAGAGATGTTCCTCTTTTACAAACACCCACACTTCTCTTGGAAGAACCATCCTTCCAAAGAATTAAAATGTTTTCTCTTGCCAAAAATTCTAAATTAATAAAATTAGTTGTTCACTTTTGGACACCTATACCATATGAAGATAGCAATCTTAATGGTTTAATAGATGATAAATCATGTTGATAAATATCTTTCATGCTTTTTCTAGTTTGCAGAGAAGTTCCAAGAAGTAAAAGAAGCTGCCAAACTTGCAAGAGACAGATCTCAAGAGAAAATTGAAACCTCAAGCAATCATTCACAGGTTTGTAATTTAGCTTTAATACCTGTACATATACAGGATAAATAATTTAAAGTTAAATTTTCAAATGGACTGTGCCAGCTTCTGGCAGCCAGCTGAAAGTATATAAAGTGGAGATTGCTGAAGGTAATTGTCAGCTGCTGGACATTAGCATTGTCAGAGGAATATTTTTCATCTGTCCATACTCTTTACTTTCATTTAAATCTAATATTTTCAGCAGTCCTTGAGCTGTTACAACTTTTTAATAACAGGCAAAGCTATACATCCTTTGATTTGTACTGTTAAACACAGTTTGAGTCGCTGGGCAGTCAGACAGTGTAGTGCTTCAGCAGAGATTAAATGAGATTCATCAATATCCTTCTTTGTCATCTGTCCAGCCCACTCCTGTGGCATTTGCTTTGCCTGACTTTGTGTCCAGTGTTCCCTGGGCAGCTGTGGTGTGGGAGCAGGGGGTTTAGAGGTGTTGGAAGAAGCCTGTGCTGTATATCTGCACAGAACCCTCTGCTGGGCAGCATCCTGGTGCCACCAGTGCCCCAGTGCCCAGCGAGGTCTGGGATTCCTGCAAACTGGAGAAACTGAGTGTGGTCCCAGGCTCTCTGCAGGGTTGGCTGTATTTCCATGTGCATTGCTTTAGTGAGAGTGAGCCCTGCTCAGCAGGTGTTCCTGGCCTGGGCTGATGTCTGGAGGAAAGTTAGATTTTGATCAGAGAGGAATTCAGGTGAATGATCAGGAAAAGCTGCTGAATGGTTTTAGTGTTGCAACCACCCCCATTTGTGGGGCCCACAAATATCAATCTGAGTGGCTGACTTTGGACACTCATTTTGTAAAGACTTTTGTTGTGGTCTTTGTAGTTCACTTTGTTTGTTCTCTGTTGATGGTCAGCACCAAGCAGTGTGTGAATATTATGTCTTTGTAGGAGCAGTGCTATTTTTGTTTGTTTATTTGTACTTTGTGTGTTGTATTGTTTCATTATCTTAAAAAAACCAAACAACTTTTGAAAAACACAAGCCTTATCGGGGAAAAAAACTTTTTTAAAGTTTTGAACACTTGAAACTTCCATTTGTGTATCACTGTAATTTTTTCATTCTTTTTAAACAGACCAGCTTTGCAGCCAAGATGAAAAGGGTATGTGTGTGTTACCACTGTTCTGCCAGGAGAGCCGAGGTCTCAGCCAAGTGGTGTGGGATCAAGATTACAAAGAAATTGGTGTTGTGGTCTTGCAGGAGATGCAGGAGACACCCAGTGTTGGTTTGTGTGTTGTGCTGCAGGAGTCTGGACGTGAAACACCCTCCTCCACCCGAGCTTCAAGTGTGAATGGCACCGACGACGAGAAGGCATCGCACGGGGGCCCTGCTGAGGCACATCTCAAATCTGAGAATGATAAATTAAAATTTGCTCTAGCCCAAAGGTGAAGTTCCTGTAGAGCATAAATTGCATTGGAAAAGTGTGCTGTAATTATCTGATGGATAATCATATTAACAGAAATTATTCAGATTGCAATTAATTTGAAATGGTGCTGCAGAACGGACGAATGAACAGATTTTAGCAAGTATCTCCTGGTATCCAGTTGAGAAATATTTCCCATTTCATTTATTCCTGATGTAGTTTGTGAAGAAATAAGCCCTCTTTTATTTTGCTGATGCCAACTATTATAACCATCTTCTTTCGGGAAGTTTTAGAACTACAGAAATAACATTAGTGTCATAGGGGAGCAATTGCTGCTGATAACATGTGAAGCCAATCTTTCTTTGAGTTTGCTACACTTACTTTGATGAAAATAGATATGGATATTTAAAATTATGAAAGGCAATGAACTCAACCATAAAAAGTTGAAGTGAGAAGTATAATTTCATCAGAGTGCTTGGAAATCTTAGGGGATATTTCTAAATTGTGGACAGAGCCCCTTGAAATCACATTTTTTGCTATTTGCTTTGATAAATAATTTGGAAATGCTGAGAAGAGTAATTTGCAGCTGTAGTGAAAATACAGGCGTTGCAATATGCAAAGTTACAACATTAAAATAGAGTAATTCTCTATTGGGATCTTGCCTTGTCTGCCTCTTGCATGTGAATGTGTATCTGTGAATGGAAGGAAAATCTAACAAGATCAAGCTACTCTTAAAAAAGTATTTAAAAAACAAAGCATCACTGTAAGCAGCATTTTCCAGTGAGCAATTCAAGGTTGCATATATTATGTTTGAAGTACTACTTCTCTCTTTATTGACATTTCAGTAGCTTAACCTGCTTCAAACAGTAATGTGAGCTCATTCCTCTTGCTGAAGACACCTCCACAGGCAGGCAGCAAGTAGCACACAGGGAGTTTCAAAGCCTTCCTCCCGTTCACCCTCTAATCTTGTGCTCTGTGCTGCAGCTCGAAGCTTTGGGGAATGAGTAGTTTAATTCTGCAGCATTATGTAACACTTTTATAGTTAAGACTCAGCATTAAAATAAATTCAAATATAGATCATGTCAACCCCCTGAAATCTTCCATTTGGGATTGCTGTGCCATCTGCAGATGTGCAGAGTGGCTGGGCTGCAGGTGCCCAGCCCCAGGTGCTGCAGCCACACAGCTCAGGGGCTGTCAGGGACCTGCCAGGGGAGACCCCTGTGTGCAAGTGGCCCCTACAGCCTGCTCTGAGAGCAGGGCTTTTGTTCCAGACACAGACACTGCTGCTGGGCTTGGTGGATCCCTTTGTTTTGACGGAGGCGGTCAAATTAAGGCTTTTGTTCTCCCCAGGAATGTCATGGCTGAAGGCAATTGCACACATCTGAGAGCTCTTCCTCCTATTGCAACAAATTAATGGTGAACACACCGCGGTGGGGGGGTTTGCAGGCAGGTAAAGAACAGCAGCTCGCAGGGACACAAGGTGAAACCACCTCACGGTGTCCTGTTTTTCTCAGCTCATCCAACGTGAAGAAGTGGGAGACGGAGCTGCAGTCGCTGCGGGAGAGCAACGCGCGGCTGTCCACGGCCCTGCAGGAGTCAGCAGCCAGCATCGAGCACTGGAAGAAGCAATTCTCAGCCTGCAAGGAGGAGAACGACCAGCTGAGGGGCAAGGTAGAGAGCACACGCCCAGGAGAGCCGCCCCTGCAGCCAGCTGCTGCCACCAGGGCTCCTGCTCTGGGGTCTCTGCGGCTTCTCGCTGTGTGTGCTGGCAGATGGAGCTGGCCTGTGAAAGAAAGGGAGGCGGATGGGGAGCTCAGGCAGCTGCTGCCCTCTGCACACAGCGGGCAGGAGGGAGCAGAGGAGCTGCTGCATCACCTGAAGCTCCCTCAGTCAGGATTTGGGAGACTTGGTGTCAGCAAGACTCTGAAAGTGGGACTGCTATTGCATATGCCTGTCAAAGCTCACTTAAATACTGCCAGATATGGATGAGCAGAAGGCAAGGTTGTGGCCTGGCTACCCATAGGAACCCAGCCTGGGAGCCAGTCAGGATTAGAAGCAAATCCCAGCAGTGTGCAATGAGGATGTGAGTTATTTCCTCAGCACTGTGGCTGTGAGCTGGGACCTCCAGCACTAACACCTGGCACATCTCATCCAGAAACTTGCCAACAGGCATCATCTAAAGCCTTTCTCCTTCATTACTGAGCACATCTCTCAGTTGTATAAGATGGAGGGTTAGCAATGGCTACAGCAGAGAACAAGTCAGAAATCTGTGAAGGTTTAGAGTAGTCATTAGTACCATCTCAGATAATGCTGTGCTGTCTGCAGCAGCCCCTATGGGCACAGAGGATCCTGGGCATGGGGGATCCTGGTTTCCATAAGCACTGCTTTTGCAGAGATATTTTCACCCTATTCATCCTAAATGCTTTTGGAAAAGCTGGATCCTTTTCCTGCTGCTTAGGTGGATCACTGGGACATTTGAAGTAGAGGTCAGATTGGATCAGTCTGGTGAGGATATTTTTTTGTTTAGTGTTTGCTTTTGAAGAGGGAAGGAATTTCATGTCTTTTTGTGTGTCAGTAGGCTGCAAGTAGTATTTCACTGTTGGAGGAGGTTTGGATTGTTTGTTGGCACTGAAAGTCCTTGTGGAACAACACTCTTTTTTCTGAGGCCAGCATTCACTGTTCATTCACTGGTGTTTTATGGGTGCTCACTGGAAATGCAGAGATCAAACCAGAGCTATATTAACTGATGTTACATTAACAAATTAATATTAGTTGTTACATGATTTGGGTTCCTATATCCAGTCTGTTGTGGGTAGGGGGGAAGTGAGGCACTGGAACAGTGTGTTATGGGAAAATACCATCTTTTGCAGGGTAGTTATTTCCCTTTCTGTACTGTTGCAGGGAAAAGTTGTTCTCATCAACACATGCCACATCCCAGCAGCTGTACTAGAAAAGAGGAGATTATTAAAACACCACTGCTCTTACTGCCTCTTCAAAGTCCCCATGCTGGTGGCCAGATTGTGCAGCAGTGCTGTCTGTATAATGTGCTGTCTTTCTCTGTACAGGGAGGTTTTCTGAGGTTTTTCCCCAAGTAGGTTCCTTGCTCAGAGCTCACATTGCACCACTGCAGTGCCCTGGGAAGTTCCTTCTCCTTTTTTAATTGGGTCAGAGTTTTTTGCATATTGCTCTACCTTCAAATGAGGGAAGTTATAATCCCAAAGCAACATGGAGCATGAGAATTAAAGTACATACTTTAATGAGCTGGTCCATTGGCCTGTGGGAAGTGCATCTCCTGGGAGCTGAGTCCAGGGCTGGCAGCAGGAGCTTTGGAGAGAGCAAAGCACATCCCTGGGCAAGAGAACAAAGCTGCAGATGTTGCTCTGAACTGGTTCTCCCCCCTAAGTTTTGATGTTGTGTCCCTCATACACCAGCTAGAATAATAAGCAACCCCCAAGAGATTTCTTCTCCTAGTGTGTTAAGAAAATCCATTCCTCATAGCCTTGTGTTGGCTTCAGAGGAGTGAAGTGCAGATTTTATCCCCAGTTCCACTTATTTTAGCAGCCCAGTGTTTTGTGCATTCCTGAGTTACAAGAGAGATTGTAAGAGAGAATAAATACAGACCCAGGGTTTCCTAGTGGATGTGTAAATTGACTCTTTTGAAGGAAAGAAGTGATAATTTGGTTGTGTGAATCAAATGTTGTGATTTAGGAAACAGATTCCATGTCCATTTCATCAGCTGTGTTCTGCCCCAGATTTTCAGAAATCTGAACAATTTCACCTAATGTCTGACATTTCTTAAAGATTGAAGAACTGGAGGAACAGTGCAATGAAATAAACAAAGAGAAGGAAAGAAATGCACAGTTGAGTAGACGTCTCCAGGAGCTGGAAACAGAACTTCAGGACAAAGAGCTGGTGAGTGCCCTGAACACAGAAATGGCATTTTTCATGTTTGAGTGGGACTGTCTGCTTCTGTCCTTGGGTGTAGATTTATGGAGTGGCTCACGTGCCACCAGAGGCAGCTTGATGTCCTGGGTGTTGCCTGTTTCCAGGTTTTCCACGTACAGTCCCTTGTTTGGGAGTGTTTCTCCATCCAGGTTCCATGATGTGTTATGTGCTGTGGCTGCACACTGTAATTTGGCAGGGGTTAGAAAAAAAAGAAGCTTTTATGTACACAACACTTGTCCTTGTAGAAGAGCCAGTGGTGAAACTTGGTGCCCAGTGCCAGACAGATGTGTGCTGAGAACAGATTCATTTGACTCTCCCCATGCCAAAAATTCATGTAGACATCAGGATTGCCATTAAAAAGACATCATTTAGAAAATAATTTGGCATTTGTGTAACAAGTCCTGTTTCTTTTCTGGATGGCTGATAGTTTGCAGCTTTGCTGGTTTATGTTCTCACTCTGATCTCAGGACTAAAGCCAGGAGTGAGAAATTCAGATTCATCTAGAGTACAGAGTACCCCAGTTTGTCATTTTTGACATTACAGGGTGTTAATTTTTCTAAGGGGAATGATGGTTTGGAACCCCAGAACAGTGGGGAAAATACTGAGAAGCTCTTTTCTTTCCATTGTCACACCAACCAAATGCTCTGAGCTGGCTGAAGAGGAAAAGCAGTGGAGGAAAGTTTGCCATGTGCCATTGCAACATCTCTGCAATCTCTGGTGCTCTTAAAAGCTCTGCTGTTAAGGGGTTTTCTGGTGCTGGAAGGAAATAGTTTAGGGAGATGGATTTTGATACACTGTCATAAATATAGTGTTTTTCAGCTCTTTATTTCAAAGGAAATTGTAATGCTGTCTTCCCAACCTTTCTGTGGCAGTAGCACATAGAACAGCCCTTATTCTCTCCTAGAATTCTCCTCAAGGTTCACATTTTTACTGTACCAAATGAACCAGAAAATTGATCGACTTGTGAATTTTACGAGCCTGTCTTCCATTTACACTGAAAATACCCTAACTTGTTATAAAAATTCATGCCTACATTAGCATGTTCTCAATTAGCTTTAAACTACCCATAAGTAATCTTTCATGGCCTGGACTCCAAACCCACATGAAGTGTGCTGGTGGCATTGCCATGTAAGAGCAGCTGCTGATTCCCTCCTGGTGCTTGTCCACCAAGTGCTTCCTCCCCCAAATCCACATCTCTGATTTTGGACAAGGCTCCTGTGGGGAGCAGTGTCAAATGCTCTGCACAAGTCCAGGTAGTCCAGGGGAACACCCCTGCTGCATTCTCTGGAGATCATCACCTACATGGGCAGTTTCTGGAGGAGGATCTTGCACTTTTTTTCAAGTTAAGTTGTCTTAATTTCCAACAGAGACATGAATTCCTACTGTTGCTCTTTCCATTAACTCCCTTCATCAAGTCTGCTCAGTTTGGGTGGTGAGGCCAGAACCAAATACAGATTTTTGGGGAGGGGGAAGGTGGTGTGCCATGGAGGAAAGCCCATTACTCCTGTGTTCTGTAATGATGTCTCTCTATGTGCAGCTGGTAAAGCCACTGGCCTTTTTTTTTTTTTTTTGCTGTCATATGTCATTGAAATTGTCTAATTTACTCTTTGCTACCATCTATAAATTGCTTGTAGGATTACAGCCATTCAGATTTCTCTGGTATTTAATACATCTTTTGCATAGTTACATGGCTTAGGTTAAGATTTTATTAATAGAATTCATGGAATTCATGCAAGAGATGGGATTACATTGCCTGTTTTAGAAATGGAAAGTAAAAAATTTAGTGAAAAAATGTATTCTTGTAGAAAATTAGCAATTTTGGAATGCAGGCAGGTTATTTTGATTATTTTCCATCCAAATACTGTGCAGAATACAATAAAATATGCAAAGCCATTTCATCTTTTCAGATTTTCATTATGTTTTAAATTGAAGCTTGCACTAATATTTTTTCTTTTATGTTTTCAAAGGAACTGGAAGAGCTCCGAAAGCAGGGTGAAATTATACCAGAGCTAATGTCAGAATGTGAATCTGTATCTGAACAATTGCAGGTACAGTTAGCAGTAAAATTAGTTTCAAAATAGTTGGTACCTTTCCTCCACTTTTTTTTTTATTGTAGCTGTATGCATTTCTCTATTCAAATGTCACTGTTTCAAGGCAAGAGAAGTCCAGTTTGTAAAAACAAAAAATGCTAATTACATGCAAAATACACAGTGCCATTCCCAGCACAGGAGTGATGAAGTAGCTCCACTGCAGACACTGGTTTGCCTGGGATCATGTAGCATCCATCTCCTGCAATTCCAGGCTCTCCTGTATCCCATGTTTGTGCTGCTCTGGGCTCATGGAGCTGCACCACTGCCACGTGTGTGGAGCAGCTGCCCAAGACCTGGGGGTAATTGCTGCAGTGCAGCAGGGCAGGCTTGGGGAAAGAGGCAGATGGGCACAGCTGCTCAGCACCAGGCTGGAAGTTCACCTGGGGATGTGTCCCTGTGCTGTGACATCCCTTTCCACAGTGCTGGCAGGAGCCCTGCCCCAGGCAGCAGCTGGACTCTGGGCATCACCTCCTCCAGTCAGGTCTTGTGGAAATGCAATAAATTAATACATGAAAAGAGAACAAAAATGAGCAGTCTCATCGATGAGGTAAAATCCAATCAATAAATAAGCCATCAGGCAAAGTAGAATTTAAAAAAATACCAATAAATCCCAAAGTGCTGAATAAAGCAACTTTATTCCTCAGACAGTATTTCCTAAGTTTGTTTTTCAAGGTTAAACCACTGTAGATAATTCTGTATGTAATTGATGGCCCAGAGTCTAATTCTGTCACTGTAGCAATGACACAAATGTATGCACAGTTCATGTTTAAATCCAGCTGAATTTGAAGATATCAACCAAATGACAAAGTCTGATGCAAAGCATCTTTTCCAGTTAATCTGTGTCCTTTCCTGTGTGGGCTTTTAATCTGACACGCTCCTGTCACTTGCTCTCAGAGGTGCTTGTGTTAATCAGTTTACAGAAGTTGGAGCAAACTGTCACAGCCCAGCTGCCAATTGTTGCTTTAATTTATGAAATGCTGCTCACCCTTCTTCTCTATGATTCATCTTATTGTCTCTTTTGTCTTTAAGGCTGCTGAGAAAAAGAACAAAGATCTTGAAGAGAAAGTCAGAACGCTAAGGACAGAAGTTGAAGAGAACAAACACAGGCAGACCAACCTTAAAACTGAATTAAAGAATTTTTTAGATGTACTAGACGGGAAGATAGATGAATTACATGATTTCCGACAAGGACTGTCTAAACTTGGGGTTGACAATTAGATGGCAATAGATCTTTTTTGTAATCTAGGGTCTGGATGTTTGATGTTTTGTTGATCCCAAACGTGTGTTTTACAAAATATAACTAGAATGTTCCACTTGTTTGCATTGGTTTTGTACATAGAGGCTGAAAATTTGCTGTGGGGTTTTTTTGGTGGGTTTCTTTATTTTTTTTTTTGTTTGTTTATTTACCAAACCAATCATGCTGCTCACTGAATTCTGTTGAGATTAGAAACTTTCTATATGGCTGCTCTGGCTTTGTGGGGTTGGGAACAGGTAGAGGGTTCTGTCTCAGGAATCTGGAACTAGATCTACCTTAAAATGAATATGCAGTTAGTTGTTGCAGGGAAATTTATATCTTTCTTAAGGGCTGTTGCAACCATAGAAACAGAAAAGAAGTCTTTTTCTTGTCTGGACTACCAGCACTCTTAGCAGAATTGACTTTATTCCGTGGTGGAGCAGAGAGGTTGGCTGGAGCCCCTGCAGTTTGTAAAATGTGCCTGTGATGAGCTGCAGTCAGGAGAATCACTTCTCACAGATACCAGGATCTTTAGGGACCATGTCAATCAGGCCCAATTCAGCCAAAAAGAATGCAGTGGATTTCTGATAACCTCTGATGGAGGTTTCGTGTGCTTGCCTGGACCCATAGAGCACAAAGTCAAGAATGCAGAAATGAGTTCCAGCTCTTGAAGTCAGTGTCTCACCAGTCAGTGAGAGCAGCTTCCCTTGCTTAGCAGCATCACCTCTCTGGCCTTCAGTTTTGAACCCATCTAGTTCCATCATTATGTGCATCTCTGAAAAATGCCCACCTGAGCCTGGGGACCAGATATTTCTTTTTAAAAGTGCTATGTTGCTGGTTTGCACAGGACTCATGCCCCTCTGTGTGCAACTTGATCATTGTTGTTTTGCAGCAGTGAGGAAGGAGAAATGGATCTGAAAAGCATCATCAGGTTACTGGGAGGTGTTGCTCAGAAGCAAATTTCTGCCCAAGAGACTGGCAGGGCAATGGCCACAGGAAATTAAAGTTCTTTCCTAGAATTTCTGTATTCTCTGGCAGTAGGGTAGGAATTAGTCACCAAGTTAGGTTGTACCAAAAAAAAACCCCTCAACCCCAGAGGCAGAAATGCTCTTTTATTCTTGAACTGATTATTCAGCAACTCTAAGAGTGTGTTGAGAAATTCAAGGTCATTCACCCTGGCCTTCAGTGAGAAGGAAATTCAGTTCATCAGAGATAGGGATGTAAAAAAGGTGAGAGAGGAGAATCCAGCCCAAGCCTTGCTCTTTCCCCAGGGACTTCCTTCAGCTTCTTTCTCCATAACCTGTTTTGAGAGTGTTTAATTAATTAATTCAGGAAAGTACTTCTGTGTACATGACATTGTAATTTGCTTGATTCAGACAACAGTTTGGGTAAGCACTGTTTTAGTGCTTGCCAGCAGGGACTAATATAAAATGGCCATGCTTTTCTTGGAATTTCAGGGCTTTATCCTTTTTTTGGCACATCTTGATTATTAAAGTGACCTTTAAAAAAAGGTGGGTTGTAGATGAAACATGCATTGAATACTTTTTTGCAGATGAATATATAATCCCCGAGGTGGAGATAGGATCTGCAATTGTCCCTTGAATTTTCATTTCATCTCTTACTGTTACTTGTCTTCATTGCCTGTTTTTTAGAATGGACTTTGAGTATTTTTGCTTTTACTCCTCTGAAACAATGGATGTAAAGCTAGGACCTTTCATAGCCGTTATGACCATTTACGTCTCTTTTTAAAAAAAATTATTTAGGCTGTTGATATTTAAAAATAAAAATAAAAATCAGGTACATAGCATGTAGGCGTGTGAAAATTAGACTTTGCCAGCATGGAAGATTCAACAGTTGCATAATGTGGGGTTAGATCAGACTTCTCAAAATTGAAAATGACGTCAGCAAGTGTGTGGTTGTGCACAAGTAGTCTCCATTTTTAGTCTTTTTATTTGATAGAAAGTCAGATATACACCATAATTTAGCAGGCAGCTCATCCTGCTTCTCCTCTCCTCCCATGCTGCTTTTTGGTCTCTGCATCAGCTGGGAGCCACAGGATAACACAATTAAGAGCTGCAAGCAATACTGGCAGTCAGGGCCCTGCTCGTCCCAGTGGTTCATTGCTTTTGCACCAAGGACCCTGCCCTATCTTCCTGTTCCTGCTGAGTGATCTTAGGGCTTCTCTGTTTGTTTTAACATAAATTGTTTTTAACATGATGCTGGGTAAAGGGATGCAAAAGACTCTGTGAAAAAATTGCATTTTCTGGTTTAATCCAGATCTTTGTTTTCCACTTTAGTCGGGTCTGTCTCAGATCCAGTTCATTAGGAATGTATCAAGCCACTCTTAAATTGCAAGAGAAGTGTTTCCATGGGATTGCATCGATTAAACAGATGGAGTTTGATGGTGGCACATTAAGCCAGTGCATGGCTGTGTCACAGGCAGTTATTTCTGGGTGCTTAGTGCCCACCAGAGGAGCAATGGAGTGTCCTTAAAGAAATCCCTGCCCTGTCTCTTCTGTCTTGCCCCAGATGTATGTATCACATATCTGCTATTGCTCTGATGCTGAGTCCTTAGGGATGCCTGTACACAGCTTTAAGCTGTGGGAAATTCTGTCCTTCAGGCCTCCAAGGGCTTGTTTTAATTGCCTTCTTTCTTTTTCTTTCCCAACAGCAGTAAGTTGAGAGCTACTACGTATAATCACTTAAACTCCCCAAAACTCCATCTCTCTTCAGCTTTCCATCTCTTTAATTGGATTTTTCCTCTTCAAGAGAAAAAAGAAGAATGGCAGTGCATGTTCTCAGGAGTGTTTGGGCACCAGCTGCAGCTGCCCTCTCTGGCCTGTCCCTGTCCCCAGCCCAGGGCACCGATGGTGTCACACACTGAATATTCCTTGGTGCTGTCTGGTGGCCCAGCACTAACCCCTGTGCCAAACTGAGAGCCTCCCACTGCTCCTCTGGGGCTCATCCCAGCACTGAAATGCCTCCTCTGTGTCCTGATGGGAGCACCAGGGCAGCCAGCCTTCCCCCACCAAAATGCACACACCATGCTGTGGGTGCTCTGACCCTCCTTTTGTGCACAGCTGGGATTTCACCTGTCCCTGCGGGCACCCTGAGTTCAGCTGGCAGACACCTGCTTAGGGATGGCCCTGAACACTGCCAGGGCCAAGAAATACTCACCCCTGTCCAAGAGAGGATCTGCAGAGCTTGGTTTTACTTGTTACACAGTGCTGGGCTAATCCTGGTCTCCCTGTGCTGTCAGCAATGCCGTGGTCAGCGCTCCACTCCCACCCAGCCTGAGCACATTTACAATTTACAGGGGGCTGTGCCTCACCTTGGGTGACCATGAGTTCCCTTTCTGGGCACAGGTTCCTCCCTCCGAGTGGTTTTTATGGCAGGAGCTCTCCTACCTCACTTACATGGTCTTTCCTTAACAAAGGGCACGTGTTTGGCTCTTTCTTGGTGGGTTTCTGTCAGCTGCTCCCCACGGGTCCTGCCACACTCCATCCTGCCTGCCTGGCATTCAGCCTGGGAGCTCCAGCAAGAGAAATCTGTGCTGGCCTCCTGTGGCACCAGGACACAGTGTGACTTGCTGACCTTTGGGTGAGATGCTTCTTTGAGGTGATGTTAGAGCTGCTGAATAATGCCAGGGTTTGAGGGGTTTTGACAAAATGAGAAATAGACAAGTGTACCTTGTATTACATAAAAGCAAAAGGGACATAAAAAATGGATGGAGTTATTTTCAAGGGGAAAGAATATTCCATTAGATATATTATGTCACTTTTTTGGAAAAATACCTTAGTCTCATATTAGGAATAAATGATTTCAAAATGAAAAAATGGAAATTTGTTGCACAGCTCAGAATAAAGAAGATTAACCTTTTTGGATTTTTATTACTTGGCTGAATCTTTCTTTGCCAATTCTGACTCAACTTCACAAGTAGTTCTGTTTGGCCTAGAAGTGCATTTTCAGCAAATGCAGTACTTTGCAGTGTTCTGTCTACATTGGTGTCTCCTTTACTAAGTGAGCTCACTAGAGGAAAACTCTTTTCTTTAAGAAATTCAACACCACCTGTCCTTTTCTGTATCCAAGCATTCAAAAGATGTACTTTCTAAAAACAGCTTTACACTGGGTTCATCTGTGGCCAGAAAACAAATGTTATTTAGACAGTATCTTTTTTTTTTTTTTTGGACAAACACCTGATTTTGGTTTTTATGTGAGTGATTTAGGGAGAACAATTTTTTAAAGCTGCTCATTGAATTAAGGTGAGCAGGAGGGGTTCCTGCTGTCCCTGGCACTGCCATTGTCTTACAAGGGTACCAGCCAAAGCACTCGTGGTGCTCACCTGCCCTGGCCAGTGACTGCTCAGTGGCTTGTTGGGCACACTGGCAGCAGGGCACAAATTGTCCGGAGATTTCTCTTCTCTTCTCTTCTCTTCTCTTCTCTTCTCTTCTCTTCTCTTCTCTTCTCTTCTCTTCTCTTCTCTTCTCTTCTCTTCTCTTCTCTTCGCTGTTTATTTTTTCCCCCCAAGTCTTCATTTCTCTTCCTTATTAATTTTTTGCCACCTTTGGCTGTGTCATAAGTGACAGAAGGAAAATTCCCAGCTACTGTCACCACCTTGCAGTGGTGGGAGTTCCTCAGCTCTTCCTTAGGCTCTTCCAAAGAGTTATCTTGGCAAAACTCTTCAAAGCATCAATGGTTTGTAGGGAATATAGTGCTGTCTTCCTGAGCCTATGGATTAACAGAGATAAAACCCCTGTCAGGCTGAAATGCCTCCCTCAGCTCAATGTGTGCCCAGGGCTAAATCTGAAGGGAAGGGGTGTAAGGGGATGCAGCAGCAGCAAGGTTTTTTTGCTAATGTTTCAGCAGAGATTTCAGTGAAAGATGTGCTCTGCCCATGAGCTCTGGATGGCCACACTGATCCACCACCCCCCTGCCTTTGTCCAGGCAGTTCCAGGCTTGTCAGGCCTGTAAATATCAGAATTCCTCAGCATATCACACAGGGGGGTGACAGGGGGCAAGGGCAGCACAGCTGGGAGAGCAGGGCAGCCATGGCTCTGGTTATGGTCAGGCA